TAGTGCTCCTGCCTCCTCCATTTCTTGAGCCCATCTGATCCACCGTTCTTCCTTGTTAGCACGTAGGCTCCGGTTCAGTTCACTTCCAATAGCCGTCTGGTCACATTGTGTTCAGAGATAGCCGAGAGATTTCTTCTAGATTCCAAATGGTTCACCGACCTCTCGGATATTCAATGATTGGTGCGGTGACGATGGATAGTATCTACACGTTAGCTAAAGGTGTGAAACACCTCAGCTACTCTGCCGCAATACCTAATAGAGAAGGAGGGAGTAAAATGCTACAGGTGCACTCCAGCTGATCTACGGGTAACGGAGGGGCATCGTTCCGGTAAGCTATCTGCCGGCTACTATGCAGTAAAAAAAGTACTTTCCTATGCAAAATTATCAATCGCTAATTAGTAAGCGTGGTTGGAGGGGAGGCTAAGAGGGATGGGGTGGGCGAAACAAACAGCACGAACGCCATTGACGTCGGCTCCTATCCATATCAACAAGTGTATCCAGCCAAACATGTTCATCGTCTTTCGGACCCCAACCAGGAAGCCGAGACGCTCCAATTGAGGTCAGCTTCCAAGTGAGGGCCTTCATTCTTCTCGACCAAGTCATCGATTAGCCACCTCTCCTATTCTTCCATCCACACCTTTGGCGCGCAAACAACACATGTCGCGGGAGCCGGTGGGCTGGCATGCGTAACACGAGTCCGAGCCATCGGAGGCGACGATGGGTAGTACCGTAAGCGGATACTCCTGCGTCGTGCCTGGCGGCCGAGATCCTATTCCACTGAAGCTCAGTGTCATTGATAGGCTTGCCTGACCGAGGGCTGAGACAATTTCTTATTTGCCAAAAGGAGGAGACGCTTGTCGCGCCTCCCGGTAAAGTTCATGGAGAAACGACAGCGTACCAAGCCATGATCAGAGACGACACAGGTACTCCAGTACGAGCGGCAATCCAGGATGGAACCACGCCACCCGTAGCTTATGGCTATGTGGTCAATTTGGGTCCATCGCTGGTCAGCTACAGGAGGACGCCAAGTGGCACTTCGGTGCCCACTGTGTCTAAAAGCGGTACTACTAGGAAACAACTGGTGCTCCGCACACAGTTGCAGCAGACGCTCGTCGTTGTCAGTCCGTTCGGAGTTAAGCCCATAATTACCACTCAGCTAAGCTTCTGAAGAGCTTAGACGCCCTACTTGTGCGTTCATATCCCCTGCAAGTACTGTAATATGTGAACTAGTATCACTGCGTAGTAGCGCGTTCAGTTCGTGATATAATGTGTCCTTGACAGTATTAGAACTGCAGTCGGTGGGAGCATAAGTGGAAATCACAAACAAACCGCGTTTTGTATTACTTCGTGAGTCCACCTTAGCTGATGTCGTCAAACGGGCTGCACATAAACGGCTGTTCACCGGAATCCAATCAACCAACGATGACTCAGCCTTGGAGCTTAGAATATTACCTACATCAGCTTGACCCGTGAGTGCTGCATCGGTGTCTCCGGATGCGTGCAACCAATAACGAGAGGATAAGCCGGGTGCAGTCAATTCAATAACTCCGTTAGGGTCATTGATCTTAATTTCGGACACACCACACATCAATACCCTGTGTGTCCAAGGTGCGTGCGAGTGCAGCCTGCTGACCTGGTTGTCTTAGAGTGCGGACGTTGAATGTCGCCATGGAAACGGGACAGCGTGGCCTTATAAGGGACTTTTGCCGATAGGCGTCCGATAGTTGCTGTGGGATGGCTGCAGATGGTACTACTCCAGTAGCACTTCGGTTGCTTTCAATTAAGCTGGGAATTATAGAAGGAAGGTTGGTAATGGGGCTCGGGATGGGAGTAAGAGAAACAGGTGGAAAAAAGAAGGGAGGTGCCAGCAGTAGCATGTTTTCGCTTATCAACCCTGCTGTATGCAGCAGATAAGGCGACCCTTGATAATCTGCGCGACGGCCGATGCAGGATGAAGTTAATGTTTGAAGAAAATGTCATGGTTGTTTGTGGGCTGAGCTACTGCCAGGACGCACAGACCTAGACAGGAGGACGATTAGGGTCCTCATCCAAAGCCTTTGGCTCAAAAGCCTGTCCGCAAGGCAGCGCGGTGGCAGTGATTTAGTTTTACAGGAATGGACGCCATCCCATTTCAAACCCCTAACCTGGAGGACCAGGATACTGAGTTTGTCTGATCACTGACCAACCTGGTAAGAGTAACTCTCAAGGTGCCCGGAAGCACCACCCAGTATAGCTCAATGGGTCAAAGAGGTACGCAAACCCTCGCACCACGTTAAGGTGCAGTCTCGTTGCGACAGGGTTGCTCAATAGTTGGCTACTGCCCGCCTCAAGCCAGACAGCTCCTGGTCAAATTGGTACAAACCCGCCAAAACTCACCTGCGTCTGGCCGTGTTTGTTGGTGTATCCTACTACGGTCGCAAAACATATATGAGTCTTTCCAGTCCCTCAAAGGCTACGTGTGACGGCCATCAAGCAGATCCCAATTTGTCTCTGCAATCATATTTTCGAACTAGATCTGCTCCCCATTGCTTTGTGGGTCAGGCTATTGAGCCAAAGGCTCCGGCCGGAGTACCTCAAGCAAACCTCAGAAGCACATCTGACACCTCGCGTGCGATTGCCCACCAATGCAATCGTATTCCAGCACGCGAGGCACTCAACACCGGGTGCTGGAACGTGCGCACACTACTAGAACGAAGTTCGAGTGAGCGCCCCGAGCGGCGCACTGCACTGAATGCGATGGAACTGGCGCTCAGTGAGACGGCTCGCTGAGCAAGCTAAGTTGCATGAAGCAGGTGCTGGCTACACATTTTACTGGGTGGGCAGCGCCACAACAGCACCACGTGATCATGGGGTCAGATTTGCAATATCCGATTGCCTCCATGGCCAGCTCGTAAGTGAACCAACAGGCATCAGCGCACGACTGACGACTCTTCGCCTAGGACCCGGAAGAGGTAAGTTTGCCACCTTTATAAGCACGTACGGTCTGTCATCTCAGAAAACTTGGTAGATGACCGGTTAATGTATTTATGGTGATAGACGTACGGTCCGACCATGCGTTATCCTGATGACACGCTTGATCAATTTTACACGCAGCTATTCTCCGTGGTACGGTCTGTGCCGAGGAGCGACCGACTATTTCTGTTGTGCGATTTCAACGCTCGCGTTGGGCGTGATGCATCGGTGTGAACAGATGTCATCGGTTCGCATGGCATTGGTCCAGCGAATGCGAACGGTGACAGGCTGCTCTCACTGTGTGCCACTCACGGCCTGACGATCACGAACACTCGGTTTGCACTGAGTGCGAGTGAGATAACAACTTGGATGCAACGGCGGAGTGGTCACCCTCAGCGGCTCAACTATGTCATCGTACGTCAGCGTGATATGCGTGAAGTGCGCATGACACGTGAACTTCGTGGAGCTGAACGTGAAACTGATCATAAATTGGTGCGGACCAAACTGTACATATATTTTCTTAAATCTACGTATTGCATTCTCGCTGTGAATCGGCGTAAATTTAACATTCTCTCCATCGGTACTTTGGCGAAACGAATTGAGCTGGCGAAGGCGATGGCTGCACACCTGTGTGGTGTGGACTGCATAACCAAAGTGGGCGACCTGTGGCACCACATTCGCGACCAGGTGACTGCTGCTGCCGAAGAGACCATCGGACGCGCAAACTGTAAGCGGCCCGATTGGTTTAATGAGAACAATGCGATGATTAGCGCATTGGTGTCGGAGAAGAATGCAGCATTTGCTGCATAGGTGACGGACTCCAGTGACTTGGGGAAGAAGAGTCAGTTTCGCGAAATTCGACGGCAACTGACCTGAGAGCTCCGTCGCATTAAAAACGCATGGTGGACGGAGAAGGCGAAGCAGATGGAATGCTACTCCGAACGCCGCTAACATAAGTAATTCTTTGACTCCTTGAAGGCGGTGTATGGACGGAGGTTGTAGCTGCTGAGGACGCTGCTCGATGGTAGTTCAGGCGCTACCTGCACACTGACCGCAGACATAATGCAGATATGGCGGAAACACTGACTGTTTTTTAACAACCGTTCAGAGATTAACTTGCCTACATTGAACGGTCTGAAGCAGCGTGAGGTGCAGATGATTCTGGCGGACACGCTGACAGTGGATGAGACGCAGAGAGCACTTGCTCAGGTGCGAACCGGCAAGTGTGCCGGTGCTGACGGGATCTTGCCTGAAGTATTGAAACACGGCGGATCTGCGTTGTTGACTGCACAGCACCACTTGGTGCAAGCGTGTAAGTTGCGGAGGAGGTGCCTGCTGAGCTGAAGGATGCCCGTGTGCTGTCACTGTACAAAACCAAAGAGAGCAAGCAATGTTGCACGAATTATCGTGGCATCAACTTGCTGAGTTATGTGAGAAACATGCTTGCCCCAATCCTGCTCAGTCGCCTCCTCAGCCAGGTTGTGGAACCGAATGTGACGGAGGAGCAATGTGCATCTGTTCGGATCTCAGCACTACAGTATCGTGTTTGCTGTTCGTCAGATGCAGGAGAAGTGTAGAGGACGGCACAAGCCGTTATACTCGCTTTTTGTTGATTTCACCAATGCATTTGATACGGTGAACTGCGAGGCATTGTGGCTGGTGTTGGATAATTTTGGTCGCCCGCATAAGTTTGTAAGTTTAATTGAATGTCTGCAGAGTGGCATGCGGGCGAGGATGCAGCTGAGTGGAGAGACCTCGGATGACTTTACACTTGTTTCTGGTGTGAAGCAAGGCTGTCTTTGCTCCTGCTCTTTTTAATGTTTATTTTTATGCCATCATGTCTTGTGCTTTTGATATGGCTTGTGCTTGCGGTGTTCGTGTGAAGCACCGTATTGATTGTGAGTTGCCGAACATACGTCGTTTTGGTGCGAGAACTCTAGTCTGTGAGACAACTATCCGTATGTTGTTGTTTGCTGACGACGGCGTTGTTTGCGCATAGCATGGATGAGTTGCAACACATGACTAGTGCTCTGGTTTTGACAGCGGTCGAATTCGGGCTCACTATGAACACAAGCAAAACTGTCTGTCTCTTTCAGCCTTCACCGAAGGTGCAACCTGCGATTTTGCCGGGATCGGCATTGGTGCTGACATATTGGAAACGACCTCCTGCTTCAGCTACCTTGGGAGTGTGAACTCGACTAACCAGCAGCTGCACAGTGAGCTGCGTATCCGCGTGTCGAAGGCAGCGGCGGCATTAGGGAATCTAGAGTATCGAGTGTGGAACAACCTCCAGCTGACGATGTACAAATCTGTGTTGTTGTCCGTTCTTCTATACGGCAGCGAAACGTGGACGTTGTACCGGCGGGATGTTCGAAATCTCGAGGGGTTCCATCAACAGTGTCTGCGACGGATTCTGCTCATCGGTTGGTTCGGAAGAGTTGTAGACACGATGGTGTCGCGCCGAAGTGGAATGGATGCACTGGACTGCATAATTTTGCTGAGGCACCTGGGGTGGCTCTGTCTTGTTTGACGTATGGATTCCACACGGATACGGATGAAGTTAATATATGGTCAGCTGAGTACTGGGAAGCGGCACGTGGGGAAACCAAAGTTACGTTACCAGGACATGATCAAAGTGAGCCTCTCACGTTCTAATCTTGATTGCAGGTCATGGGAATCGAAGGCGATTGATTAGCGTGCATGTCGCGATCTGATCACGACGGCCGTTGTCGGGTTGCAAGAGGCAGTCATCGTGCATGAAGAATAGACGCGGCAATTGCATTAGCGACAGGTATCGGTGGGTTATACTCCATCGACATCGAGCGCATGGTGTTGTAACACATGCGGTCGCGAGTGCTTGAGTCAGGCGGGCCTAGTGAGCCATGAGCGAGGCTACTCGGAGCCAACACCGAAACGTCGACGAATCCCGTAGAGAACATAAACAGTACGCCCGCAACGTTTTTAGGTACGCTGTATTCGATTTACTAACCGCGTACTTGCATGCTGAGTTTCTATATTTCCTGTGGTGGCTTTGCTATTTAGTCCTAATGCTTTTTTGTCTCAAATTAATGTCTACCTGAAATTTTTTATAAATGTGCACTCGTCGCTTAAGCTAGTTGTAGTGAATCGATAGTCGTACCCAACTTCAAAAAGGGTCTGCGCACAATCTGATCCAGCTACAGAGGCATAAGCTTAGTCCCCGTGGTTTGCATGCAGCTGCTGTCCATCATACTTCTCAGGTTATTCCCAACGCGCGAATCATTGCAGCGAGGAGAACAACTTGGGTTTCGCCATGGTCGCGGCTGCATCAATCAAATCTTCACACTCCACCAGATCCTCGAGCTGCGCCATGTGTAACAGAGGCCAACAATTTCTGTGTTCTTGGATATCCTTGCAGCCTTCGATTCTGTCTGCCGTACGATACTGTGGCACTGCCTGCTGAGGAATATTGTCCCCGAGAAGTTCGTCTCCATACTGCGCGCTCACTATAGTCTTTCGTTAGGCAGGGTTAGTGCTTATGGCAAGCTTTCGCCTACCTTTGTGGGCTCCAGTGCAGTTCGACAAGGATGCCCTATCGTTCCGTTCCAGATGCGAGACCTGGCCCATTCGTAAAGATGGCTTGCGCAGGCTATCCGTCTTCGAGCACCGCTGTCTGCCGTTGATTACCCGTGTGTGGTGGCGGCACCACGTAAGCAATGTGGAAGTTAGACAGCGTGTCTTGGGAGGTGGAAGCCTCTCGCTCGAGGAGCTCGTCTCACTGCATCAGCTGCGGTGGTTGGGACACGTATTGCGCATGCCTGTCCAGCGTTACATGCGTGCTGCGTTGTTTGCACTTGCTGAACAGAGCTAGAAGAGACGGTCTGGTGGACAGCCTACAACTTGGAAGAGCCGCATGAAAAAGCTAACGAGACAGTTGACCTCGGCCGGTTGTTGTCCACTGCATGGTTGGGGTCCGAGAGATGTGGATACTTGCTGGTTGAAGACCTTGGAAGCCATGGCTCAGGATCGATGTCAATGGCGGACGTGTGCATCGGTGTGCTGCTGCCTCTCTTCTTCCTGCCCCTAAAAGACAAACTGAAAATTTTTTCAAAAACTGTGAGTGGTAAACTAAACACAAAAAGCTTCTGTTGTTGCTCTCTTTTATTATTCATACTGTTTTCCTATTCGGCCATGATTTCGATGGCACAATATTTGTACCACAGAATATATATATTTATATCTTCGATAACCTAGTCGCGTTTGTGGCATTTTCTTATAATATATTTTCTAACGTCTTGAACTTATCGCGGACTTGTTCGTACCTAACTTATTTCATTTGCTCATTTAGTGAACAGTTATGTCACTGTATCTGTATGCATTATACGATGTATTTTATTTTATTTCGTCGTTTTAACTGATGGACTGCTGCTGGATATCCCCGGAGTGCCTAAGCCTGGTGTGCATGTTGGCATGGTGCCTAGTCCATACTCATCATCATCATCGTCATTACACGTTAGCTGGAGGTGGGAAACACCTCAGCTATTGTGCCGCAATACAAAAGGCAAGAAAAGAAAAAACAAACAGTGGCACGCCCGCTGAGTCCCCAGTAACGGATGGACATCGTTCCGGAGAGCTAACAGCTGGCTGCCGTAAAAGAAAGTCATATTATGCCTAACGACTGAGATCGTGATTGGAGGGGGATGCTAAACAGGAGGGGGATGGACAAAGGAACTCACAACACAAACGCCATTGGGGCCGGCTCCTAGCCATATCAGCAAGTGTGTCCAACCAAACGTGTTCACCGTCCTTAGAATCCCAGCCAGGCAGTCGGGATGCACCAACCGACGCCAACTTCGAAGTGAGGGTTTTCATTTCTCTCGACCAAGTCATCACTTGGCCTCCTCTCCTCCTCTTCCAACCGCACCCACAACGCGCAAAAAATGCACGTCGTGGGAGTCGGTGTGCTGGCATGCGCAACACGTGGCCCAGCCATCGGAGCCTGGTGCTTGATGTAATCGTGCTGAGCGGTCCACTCGCTCTTCCTGCACCGAATACGCGACGCCGAACACGCTCATTGCTCATGCGGTGTTCCCACCAGACATGAGCTAAGCTGCGAAGGCAGCGATGATCGAATGTGACGAGTCTCTTCATGTCTGTCGACCTGATGGGCCAGGTTTCACAGCCATATAGGAGAGTTGAACAGACGGCTGCGTTGTAAACTCTGCCCTTGAGGGCGAGAGTAATGTCGCGTCTGCGCCACAGGTGGTGGAGATTGGCAAAAACACCTCGAGCTTTTGCTATACGGTTCGTAACCTCATCTTCAATCCCACAGGTGCTAATATAGCTGCCCAGGTACTTAAATTCCTGAACGACTTCTAGCAGATCACCACCAAGCGTTAGCGTAGGGTTGGGTCCCTGCCAATGTTGGAGAAGTACTTTGCATTTCGATGGAGCAAAGCATAGCCCAAAACGATTGACAGCCAGTGCTAATCGGTTCAGTGCTGTTTGACATGTTTGGGAGCTGTCACAGATTAGGGCAATATCGTCTGCATACTCCAAGTCAAGAAGTCGCTCACCAGGGAGTAGCTCCACACCTTCTATGTCGTGTCCAGCGAACGCTGTTTCCATGACTTCATCAATAGCGAAGTTGAAGAGGAAAGGTGACAGCGGGCATCCTTGCCTCACACCGCTGGTGATACTGAAGGGTGGCGAGAGTGCCATAAACCCTCACCCTGCCCGAACTATGTGCATACAGCGCTTTGATAATGTTTACCTATTTATCAGGCACACCTTTCCTCAGCAGACAGTCCCAAAGGGCACATCGATCGACTGAGTCGAAGGCACCTTTTATGTCAAGAAACACGACAACAGTGGGTCGCCAATAAACATGGCGGTGCTCCAACACTTGACGCAATGTGAAGATGTGGTCGATGCAGCCCCGACCTCGACGAAATCCGGCTTGCTCTTCACGAATCTGGCTTTCACGAGTGCCAGTCAGTCTGTGGAGAATAAGAGAGGCAAGCAATTTAGAGGCAATCGAAATCAGACTGATCCCTCTATGATTGCCACATTCTAAACGGGAGCCTCCCTTGAAAATTGGGACAATGACGGAGCGGTTCCAGTCTGTCGGGACTGTCTCCTGCTCCCAAAGTTTTACTAGCAACTCGTGTAGATCATCTACTAGAGCAGATCCACCGAATTTGAAGAGGGCTGGAGAAATTGTATCTGCTCCTGCGGCCTTATGCAATTTCAACGCCCTGATCTCACGTTCGACTTCTGCGCGTGAGGGCGGATCCAAGGAGAAGGGCGCTCAATGCCCGAAGAAAGCGATAACTCAGGTTGGTTAGATTGCATAACAGAGTGTTCAGCCCAACGCTCCAAGCGTTTTAACAGGCTGTGGATCGGCTGCCCACTCTCGTCGCGTATAGTCTCGCTAGCACCAGGTCTCCTGCTGCCTGTTGCCCGTATCAGACGGTATAACTTACGATGATTACCAATGGCAGCGACTGTTTCCATCTCAGAGGCAGGATGAGACCACCAGGTTTCGCGGTCCTTCTTTAGTCTAGCACGTCGTTTCGCCCTGAGATTTTTGCGAGCTTCATTGTATTCGCTTCCAGCCGGAATACGTCGGCGAGCATCCATAAGTTCCAGAGACTGTGTAGAGACCCAATGTCCGGTTTTGCAATTTGTTTTGCCACATGAAGACATGCCTGCTAATAGCAACGCTTGACGAGTATGCGACCAGTGATCTTCAACGGTGTTTAATGGGCGCTTACTCAGCCCAGATGTCAGCGCATCTTGGTACACATTCAGAACATCTGGCTTCGCCAGCTGGCTAGTGTCAATCCGTTCACATTGACGTTGCGGACGTCCACCGAAACGTACCAGGAGGTCGGCACAGACAAGTGCGTGGTCAGAGTCCACGCTCGTGCTCCAAATCGAGCGACAGTTTTGGACACAGCCTCTCCAGCGGTAACTGATCGCGATATGATCGATTTGCGTCCATGACTGGCCCGAGGCTGGTGGCCGCCAAGTCACACTTCTGCGGGTGCTGTGTCGAAAATTAGTGCTCGCGAGAAAGAGGCGAGCATCTTCACACAGCTGTAGCAATCGCTCACCATTATCATTACGGGAGCCTACACCATGTTGGCCGCCCAGATGAAGCTCATCAGAGGACAATTTTCCGACTTGGGCGTTTAGATCGCCAGCCAGCACCACAGTATCCGTGCTTCTTCTGTAACGAAGGAGCTCGTGAAGTTGCTGATAGAAATCATCTTTTACCGAATCAGTGCTACAGTTTGTAGGGGCGTAGGCCGCAATGACAAACAGGCACCGTTTGTCCCCGCGCGACTTCGAAGCACGGAACGAACCAGCTAATCTAACGGCGCACATCATACTGTTTACTGGAATCCAATCAGGCAGGGCAGCTTCAGCTCGGGGACTCAAAACAATGCCAGCGCCAGCTTGACCGGCATTTGAAGCTGCATCATCGCCAGATAGGCGCAATGAGAATGTGCCGCCAGTGTCGCATGTGGGGGATCTCAGGGTAAGCACGGAGCTTGAACCTTGCAGGCGGGTGTCTGATAAACAGCAAATATCGATTGATAGGGTCTCTAGTGTGCGGGAAAGTGCTGCCTGTTGGCCAATGTGCAGCAAAGTGCGCACGTTGAGGCATGCCAATCTTAGCGAGACACGAGGACTCCAAAGGGAAACGGATGAACTGACGTTGTCCGCTTGGTTGAACATGGACTTGTCGACTGGATTGGAGCGAGGCCTTGCGCTTGTGTGTGATTTGAAATTAGAATACAAGCGACTATTGAAGTAAGCTGGGAGAGGGCCAAGAATTGGGGGATTGAAAATGGGGGGATATAAGTAAAGTTGGAGCGGGACAATAAGGATGCAGAAGCGCAAGAAGGGTTATAAGAAGACGGGAAGGCCTGAGCAGTAGCATCCAAACCCCTATCCCCCCTGCTCGATGCAGCAGAT